GGGATTAATGAGTGAGTTCTCACTCTATTAGTTCCCACGAGAGTTCGTTCCTTAAAAAGACCCTGGCACCTTCTCTCTCTCTCTTGCTTTCTCTCTCTTGCTTCCTCTCTCTTGCTTCCTGTCACCATGTGATCTGCTTGTACCCACTGGCTGCCTGCCACTTTCTGCCATGAGTAGAAGCAGCCTGAGGCCCATGCCAGATGCAGCCGTCACAGAATTGTAAGCCTAATAAACCCCTCTTCTTTATAAATTACCCAGTCTTAGGTAATTCTGTAATAGCAACGCAAAACAGACTAAAACAGAAAATTGGTACCAGGAGTGGGGTGTTACTAAACAGAAACCTGAAAATTTGGATGCAACTTTGGAACTGGGTAATGGGCAACTGTTGGAGGAGTTTGGAGGACTTAGAAGAAGACAGAAAGATGAGGGAAAGTTTGGAATGTCTTAGAGACTTATGTAGTGGCGAGCAGAATGCTGATAGAAATGTGGACAATAAAGGCCATGTGGATGATGAGGTCTCAGATAGGAATAAAGAACTTATTGGGAATTGGACAAAAGATCACCCTTGCTACACCATAGCAAGGAATTTGGCTGCACTGTGTCCATGCCCTTGAACTTTGTGGAAGGTGGGACTTAAGAGTTTTGAACCAGAGCATTTGGCTGAAGAAATCTCGAAGCAGCAAAGTGTTCAGGACGCTACATGGCGACTTCTAACAGCCTACTCTGAGTTATGGCAGCAAAGCCATAATGTAAAGCCAGAATTTAAAATGGAAGCACAGCGTAAAGATTTGGAAACTTTGCAGCCTGGCCATGTGGTAAAGAAGCAGAGAGCCAGAGGACAGTGCAAGGGTGAAGCAGATAAACTGGTTGCTAAAGACATTATCTTGGTGGTGAGGCAGCCAGATGCTAATAGTGGAGAAAATGAGAGGAAAGCCCTGAAGGCATTTGAGAAGTCTGGAAGGGTGCCCCACCCATCACAGGCCCTGAGGCTTAGAAGGACTGAGTTGTCCCAGAGGACAGACCTGGGGCACAGCTGCCCTTGGGAACCTGCTCCCTGCATCCCAGCTGCTCTGGCTAGAGCGGCCCCAAGTGTGGTTCACGCAGCAGCCCTGAAGAGTAGAGGCCTGAAACCTCAGTGGCGTCCACGTTGCGTTAAGTCTGCAGGCCGGCAGCACGTGAGAGCAGTGGAGGCATGGCAGCCTCCACCTAGATTCCAGAGGATGTATGGAAAAGCCTGGAAGCCCAGGAAAAGACTTGCCACAGGGGTGGAGCCACTGCAGAGGCCATCTACTAGAGCCATGCGGAGCAGAAATGTGGGGTCAGAGTTGCAGCACAGAAACCCCAATAGCACCATGCCTACTGGAGCCATGAGAGCAGGACCGCCATGGAGACCCCAGACCTGTGGAGCTACCAGAATGGAACACCAGCCTAGGAGAGGTGAAGTGTGGCCCAAGACCAGGAAAGCCATAGGAGCAGAGCTGCCCAAGGACTTGGGGACCCAACCCCCACAGCAGTGTGCAGAGGCAGTCAAACATGGAATCAAGGTACCTGATTCACCAGCCTTGAGATTTAATGCCTGCCGTGCTGGGTTTCGGATTTGTTTGGGACCTGTTTTTCCTTTCTTCTGGCCTATTCCTCCTTTTTGGAATGGGAATGTATACCCAATGTCTGTTCCACCATTGTATCATGGCAGTAGATAAATTTGGTTTTGTTTTTCAGGTTCCCAGCTGGAAGGACTTTTACTTTTAGTCGCAGATGAGACTTTGGGCTTTGCACGTTTAAGTTGGTGCTGGAACAAGCTAAGACTTTTGGGACTGTTGGGACAGAATTTTGGGATAGTATTTTGTATGTGAGAGTGACATGAGTTTTGGGGGGCCAAAGGCAGAATGATGGAGTTTGGATGTGTTGTCCACTCCAAAACTCATGTGGAAATTTGATCTCCAATGTAGCAGTGTTGGAAACTGATTGAGTCATGGGGGCGGATCCCTCATGAATGGATTAATGCTCTCCCTGGGGGAGGGGGGATTAATGAGTGAGTTCTCACTCTATTAGTTCCCACGAGAGTTCGTTCCTTAAAAAGATCCTGGCACCTTCTCTCTCTCTCTTGCTTTCTCTCTCTTGCTTCCTCTCTCTTGCTTCCTGTCGCCATGAGATCTGCTTGTACTCACTGGCTGCCTGCCACTTTCTGCCATGAGTAGAAGCAGCCTGAGGCCCATGCCAGTTGCAGCTGTCCCAGAATCGTAAGCCAAATAAACCTCTTTCCTTTATAAATTACCCAGTCTCAGGTATTTCTGTTATAGCAACACAAAACAGACTAAAACAAACTGACATCCTCTTCTTCACAGAGTCATGAAAACCCAAAGATACAGACTCAATACCACAGAGCAGCTGACGGCCTCCAGTGTCAACACAGAGTATAATGAACAGAGTATGTCAACCACCTTGACAGTGGTGGTGGTCACGGCCATCCCAGCAGGGCCGACTGCTCCCAGGTCTCTCATTCAACTTTGCTCCATCATTTCCATTTCATTATCAAAATGGCAAATGTGGCTAAGCCGTGGATCAGTGCCAGCCTCAGAGTCTAGAGGTAGGCACCTTTAAAAAATTATCCACTTTAGGGCCGGCCCGGTGGCGCACTGGAGAGTGCGCCGCTTAGGAGCACAGCGGCGCTCCCGCCGAGGGTTCGGATCCCATGTGGAGACCGGTTCCTGCTCACTGGCTGAGTGCGGTGCGGACGCGACACCGAGGGTTGCGATCCCATTACCGGTCAAGCCGGCCCGGTGGCGCACTGGAGAGTGCGCCGCTTAGGAGCACAGCGGCGCTCCCGCCGAGGGTTCGGATCCCATGTGGAGACCGGTTCCTGCTCACTGGCTGAGCGCGGTGTGGGCGCAACACTGAGGGTTGCGATCCCATTGCCGGTCCCCGGTATGGGCGCGACACCGAGGGCTGCGATCCCGTTACCGGTCAGTAAAAAAAAGACAAAAAGGAAAAAACAAACAAACAAACAAAAATATCCACTTTACTCTATTTGATTCTGCTAAGAAAAAGAAATCAGTGAAGGGTCAACAAACCCACATTATTCCTTTACTACTGGGCTTCTGGTGACAACTTTTCACACTTCCCTTGTCGATCAAACCAGGAGAGCTATTGAGTGCATTGCTGCATAGAATTCTATTTTCAACATGATTGAAAATCTGAAGTCAAACTTATGGAGCGAATATTAGCATTGGTTTTCTCCTGTATCACACCCTGACTGGAAACATGTAGGTGGCTTTTTTATTTGTTTGTGCAGCCAGAAGTTATTGGAGTGGAGAGGGTTTGACAGTAAACAAGCAAGGGCTAATTAGTAGAAAATAAGTCTTATTTAAAGAAATAATATGTAATCAATGTTATTTATCTAAATTAAGTCCAGAACATCCCTGTTTACTGTTATATTCTAAAATAATTGGTTTTTTTATTCGATGCTCAGGGCAAATAGAGTGAGCAGTATAATCATTTTTTTGTTTGTTTTGGTGGGGTGGGCGACATGGAGGAGTGAAAGGTAGATACTATTTTTATATGCAGCAATTTCAGGGAGAGATGGTTTGCCTCTGTTATATTGCTTACCTGAGAACAGAAAATGTAAACTTGTGTGGAATAAAAGAAAAATATCATTTACTTCTTCTTTCTTAACATTTTTTTTCTGCTGTATTATCTGGAAAACACTGACAAAAAGGCTGATAACTGGAATGCGATTTCCAGACATTCATCATAATGAATTTGGAACATATTGATATTTTCAGAGTATATTGAGGCTCAGGTGTACTAAGACTGAAAGCAGACTCAAATTCAATTCCAAGGGCATTTTGGCATTGTGTTTTACAGGATTCTTCTTCAGTTTTCCTTTCTTGCATTTTGTATTGCAGCATTTGTGGGTTGGGAGCAGGGGTAAAGATCATGGGGTTGCAGGGAGAGTATAAAGGCTCTGGAGACTTGAATCCAGGTTCTGCAAGTACTTTCTACCCTTCTGACCTCTCAGGAAATTACTGAACCCTTCGGAACCTCATCTGCAAGGGAATAATAACAAACTTTACCTTGCAGGGTTGTGATGAGGCTGAAAGAGAGATAACCTCCCCATGGTTCTGGTTATAGTAGGTTTTCGCATAATAGCTCCCTTCCTCTCTCCTTAGGGGAGCACTTTGTTGTGAGCGAGAACTCCTGCAGTTGATTTGCATTGGTTTTTCTGACTCCAAACTATGACAATTTTGTGCGATTGATTTGCCCGCAGTTTTTCAGTTTTTATGGAACAAATTCTATTTGATTTGCACTATAATGGTAGAAAGGGTCATACATCTTTTCACAAATTAAAAAGAATTTTACTATGGAGACTTTTGAACACATACAAAAGTAGTCAGAATAATGCAATAAACCCTTTTAACCAGTGCCCTACTCCCAAAGCCATCAATCCATGGCCGATTATGCCCCACTGCCAGGTTCCTGTACTCTTGAAGATCTTCATCCCAAATGCTACTTCCCCAATTCCTGAATAGTTAGGGATTTATAAATGATCACTTAAGTGTATCAGTTAATTAAATATTTAGAGAAACCAAATTACAAAACACAGAGGCTATTTCCCCCAAACTTTTGTGTTTTGTCATTGATTTTTGAGCCTGAGGTGATGGGAAAGTGGGAGCGGTGCCTGGAGGAAGAGGCTCTGCACACTTAGCTAATCCAAAGCCAAATACTCTTATTTAATAGATACATAGCATGAATAAAGGGGATGATGAGATTGGTCCTGCCCACTTCACCAGATTGTCACCAGGAGCAACCAAGAGAGTACACATGAAAGGCATGAGATTTTGGAAAGTCCTATCATTAGCAACATTGTTAGTAAAACCAAATAATAAGATAACAATAAAAATACACATTATAGGTTACTTCAAACATTTTTTGCATACTCTTTTATTATCTCAGTGGACCCCAGATGACTATCACTCCTTAAGTCAGAGTCAAAACATTACCTCGTATCCTTTCACGCTGTCCCCCAGAGCTTCAACGATCCCAGAACATTCAAATCCCGGCACCAGGGGAGTCTTGGGAGGGTTGTCAATGTTCCCTTGTCGTACCATCAAGTCAATGAAGTTTAAACCACTGTGAACAGCAAATGTGAAAAGAGAAAAATTCAAAATGAGATCCAAAAGAAAGCACTGACCTGGTTTTCTTTTTTTCCCATTCCTTTTCCTTCCCTCCCTCTCTCCCTCTCTCTCCTCCCTTTCTTCATTTTTTTCTTTCTAGAAAAGTGTCCCTAATCGTCATGCGACTTAACCAAATGTCACCAACAAAGCAAAGTTCAATTATCTCTATTCAAATAAGTAATGCTTTCCTGGCAATGGAAACAGTAGTTACAGAGTTTACATTGTAGTTCAAAAGACAGTCCCTTTGTCCTCTCTCAGAGACTGTTTATTCTTACTTTAAAAACACACGTTGACTAGCCTGACCATTAGACATTCTAGCATTTAAGCAAGAGTAAAAAATATGCTAGGAAGTGATTTGCTTTAAGCAGACATATGGAAAGTAGCTAGACACAATGGCCACCAGCCAATCTATGAGAAAAAGAAATAAGATTTATTTAAGAAGTCTCAAAACAACCAACCATCTCTCCTTAATCATAATGCACACTTATACATGCACCGTGCATAAACAGCTCCTATCATGGTGAATATGTACCATCAAGAGACTACATCATGGTCCCCTGGAGGAGGGTAACTCAAAGAAGAGAAATCAAAGGGACAGCCCGATGAATATGGAAAGACTGGAGGGTTTGTTTATAAAACGTAAGTTATCTCTGGATGAGAAAAGTTATTAGGTATTTTCTGTTGACACATTACTTTTGAAATAAGAAAGTTATAACTAAAAAATATATCAAAGTCATCCCCATGGAAAACCATATACTCAATTCCAATGATGTGGCCAATACTTCAAACTTTTATTTTTTTAGATCTACTCTTGGGGATTACATTAGCACCCATTTACAACACCTGCACTCCCATGCTTATTGCAGCTCTATTCACAATAGCCAAGAGTTGGAATCAACCCAAACGTTCATCATTGGATGAGTGGATAAGGAAAATGTGGCATATTTATAAGATGGAATACTACTCTGACATACAAAAGAATGAAAAACTGCCATCACAGAGACATGGATGAACTTAGAGAAAATTATGTTAAGTGAAATAAGTCAAGCACACAGAGAGAAATACTACACGTCCTCACTTATATGTGGGAGCTAATAAAAAATAAACAAACAAGTAAAAAAAGAAAAAAAGATTTTAAAAACCCATTTACTAATCACCTGCTAAAACACATCCCATTGTACATGCATTTTTTCCAACATATGAGGTTCTAATATACTTCTTGTTTTCATAAGCCACCATCTAAGAAATAGTCAGATTGTAGAAACCAAACTCCTCAATCTGACACAAGGTCCATTAGCATCTGGCCACAGCTTCTTTTCTAAGCAAGACGACTTAAACTACTTTGTAAGCACATCTTCCCCATTTCTTCCTCCGCCTCTTTGGAACCAAGAAAGCATCTAACTCTACCTACACCACTGGTCTCACTCATCAGTCTCAGCCACAGACAATGGATAAAGGCAAGAAGGATGATGACTTCCTGGAAGGGTGGGCTCAAAAGTCACCACCTTCTCAAGCTTTTCCCAACCGCAAATCAGGCAAGTTTCACATATTGCCCCCGTCAGTGCAACCTAAAGGTGCTCTTCTCGAAGGGGGCTGCGCACCTCACATTTCTGTGCTTTCAGACTGCTGGCATGCATCAGACCCAGAGCAAGATAGTAGGTACTCAAGTAACACCTGTTGAATGAAAGAACAGACATGTATATTCAAACACGTGCTGCCAATTTGAGTACCAATCTTTTTAAAAAGCAGCTAAGAAATGCTCAGAGTAGTGGATCAGTAGGTACTCAAGTAACACCTGCTGAATGAAAGAACAGACATGTATATTCAAACACATGCTGCCAATTTGAGTACCAATCTTTTTAAAAAGCAGCTAAGAAATGCTCAGAGTAGTGGATACATTTCTGAAATGTATATGTAGACTCCAAAAGGTCCTGCTTTGATGGTTAATAGTTATTCAGGTCATTTATTAACCAAAATGCTCTCTAATAACATGGTCAGTTTCTTAAGTGCTTTGGGAGAACTGGTACAAATCTCAATTCTACCACTCCTGCCTACGTAGCCTTGGACAAGTTACTTATCTCCTCTGTGCCTTATTCCTCATCTGTGAAATGGGGGTGATGATAGCACATACTTCATGGGTTGTTGTGAAAATTAATGGGAGTGAAGCATGGTGCCAGGTACATAGTAAGTACTCAATAAACATGAGCCTTTACATTTTTATCTTAAGTTTAGAAAGCAGAAGTATGTGATACATTTCAGGAAGACTCCCATTAAAAAAGGGGTTAAAAATGGTTTCGGAGTTGACATGGGAAAACCTCAGCTCTCTATAAACCTCACTTCTATGAAATGGCTCATTTTCTGACACAACCTAATAAAGAAAGCATCACTGTAGAGCAATAAAAGGAATTTTTACATCCCCAGTCAAGCACTCCATCTCATTTCACACACATTTTTAGCTTGCTGGGTCTTCCCTTGTCTCAGCTCTCTATAAACCTCACTTCTATGAAATGGCTCATTTTCTGATACAACCTAATAAAGAAAGCATCACTGTAGAGCAATAAAAGGAATTTTTACGTCCCCAGTCAAGCACTCCATCTCATTTCACACACATTTTTAGCTTGCTGGGTCTTCCCTTGTGTGAAAACCTGTGATTTCCCGAGGCCCTGATGGAGAAATGCAGAAGAGATGACTTGACAGTTCTGCAAACACAGTGGCCTCTGGAGAAGATTTTGTCATCCACACTTATTGCACTGCTCAATAGGCCTGCCTTCAATCACCATCCAGCGAGGACAGGGCCTGGTGATTGCAGACTGAGAGCCAGCTCCTGAAGTCCCAACTGAGAAGGGCTAAGACTGACTTTATAGAAGCCTTTAGTATCCTGTTTCTGCAGTGAGGCATTCAGGGATTCTGTCAGGTCATGGCAAATGCCACCTATTCTCAGGAAGCAGGTATGTTCAGTGAGACAGGGGCCAGGTCAGTGTTGTTCAGGTGGTAAACAATTTCAAATGGTGTGCCCTCACGTGTTATTGTGGTTTTTGGTTAAGACAGAAGAAATTCAATCTGTTTCACAGAGACTTTCCACCCACCTCCTCCTGATATGGATATAGCTAGCATTTACAGAGGGTTTAATTTGTGGCAGGAACTGTGCTAAGTGCTGTTCTGTTGTTATTTGATGTAAGACAATGATACGACTATGAGGTAGAAGCTACCATACTCATTTTTCAGATGAGGAAACGGAGACCCAGTGAGATGAAGTAACTAGCTTATCATCAACTCTTTAGAAAATGTTAAAGTCAGGATTTGAACTCAAGCGAAGGCTAGACCCTGGGCCCTTATACAACACACTCTACTACCTCTTTATGACCCCCTCCGCACCCTTGCTGAAGTGTCAGGTCCAAGGGCTGTGTTTATCTTTTTCCCCCCTTTGACAGCTGACTGCATCAGTGGTGGGCCCAATGCTGGAGGTGTGGCCATTCATAATCTAAGCAGAAACCCGTCTCTTAACATGAATAAATGAGCTGGTTCAAGAACCAGGTGTTCTCTCACAAAATATGAATTGAGATACACGTGGCAAGAGAAGAACTTAGCAAAAGACAGGATGCCAAATGACACAAGTAAGCTAGAGGGACCTAGCTGACCTGAGCTTCCAGGAAGCATAAGTGAAAAAGCCAAAAGGTAGGGGAGTTAAAAGAAAATAAAAAACACAAGAGCTACAGAGTCAGCCCAACAGCCTGCCCCAGGCTGAGGCTTTACAGCCTTCCATTGCTGAGTTGCCTAGAATGAGAGGGTCCCGTCTCCAGACTTGGTGAGGCCCTGCTCCATCCTGCCTCCTGCTCTCTAATTTCTGAGAGGTCTTTTGTGATATGTGTTTACAACAGAACCTCTTTGCTTGGATTACTGTGTGGTCTCTGTCCTACAAAACCAAAAGATACAAACTAAAGCAAATACCATAATCAATTACCCCCAATTCACCCATTGGGACAGACATTATTAACTCCATTTTTTTTTCTCCCAGACAAAAACAAGTAACATCATTCAGAAACAATAAGTTATTTGCCCAAGGCCACACCGACAGTGAATGGTAAAGCCATGGACTTAAACTTTGGTCTGTCTAGTAGTTTTCTTTTTCCAGCACAACAGGAAAAAAGCAGCGGCATATCAAGCTATACATCTGCACAATTACAGTTTCCAGTATTCTCTAAGATAATTTGGTTTTTACCTGGAAATGTTTTTGGGGTGGCAATGACTATGCTTGATGACTCAGGGCCACGCAGGGCATAATCTTCGGATGTCTCTTTTACCTAATTTTTATACAGCTCTTAAACATTTGAGATCATTGCAAAAAACAGCATTGGAAAGTACTTGACATTATGCTCTGCTAGGTAACTATATTTTCCTCAAAGACTGGTATAATTTTAACAAACAATATAAGGCTTTTAGTTTTCCTTCCATACTAAATTATTAATCACAGGCTAGGTTTAAAGAGTTATTACTGGGACATAGCACCCCGAAGGAATGAAGGCAGAGATTTGAGAAAGAGATCCTGAAAAACTGAAAACATAGGATGAGCAATCTGAAGACATGATAGAAGACACAGGGATATTTGAGGACAGTCCCTTTAAATAATAGCACATTCTTACATTTGCATAGCATAGCGCAGATTACAAAGTGCTTTCATACAAATCTCATTAAACTTTGTAACAATCCCTGAAAAGCAAGAAGTGCAGCTATTACTACTCCCATTCAATAGATGTGTACATTACGACTCCCATAAGAAAACTGATTTGCCAAAGGCAACACAGTTGGTGCATGACAGAGCTGAGACTTGAGTCAAGGTCCTCAGACTCCTGGTTTATTGTATATCCCATGATGCCATGAAATCTCAAATGCAAGTAAATCAAACGTTACTAAAATCGGTAATTGCAAGATTCGGGAGCAAGAAGACTAAGAGGAAGA